AGCTTTACTACTCCTTGAAGCCCTTCAGCTCATGAACCTACTGCTCTCATCCTTCACATAATTCTCAGTTTTGGAACTGATCAGTTGGCAGTCCTGCCGGTTGACAAGCCCCCACATTGGAATCAGTAGGCACTCAGTGAAAAAAGGGTTTGTTCCCATCCATCCAAATGACAGAGGCCCTGTCTTAATTTTACTCTATGTCTTAGATGCTGGTCATACCAGTGTAACACTGCAGGAAAACAAAAAAACCCCAACAAAACCCCACAGACAGCTCTTACTTTGATTAATATGCTCAAGAAAAATTCCATCTATTTGTTTGTTTGGTATTTTTTGCAAGCCGTGGTTCTAGCCAAGAATTTTACATCAAGACAAGGACCTCACACTTGCCTGATAGCAAACACAGTTACTGCAAATATAGCCAGTCTTAACGTAAGAACACTTGTAAATTTCCATGTTACTATTGCCATATTTGTATGAAAGGTTTAACTGTAAAACAGAACCAGATCAGCTGATCATCTACAACAAAATAATTCTCTAATCAATGGAGATGCAGGATTTCCATGCAAATTCCTCCATTTTCTTTGGGTTTTTTTTTTTTGGGAAGGAGTCACTTAACCCTTGTCCATTCTGCCTTTGTTTATCCAGTGTGATAATAGGTTTTCTGTCACACCTACTCTTTGGGAACAATGCTGGTATGAACAGCTCAATTTATATTTGACCAATGAACATGAAAAAGATTTTTGGTTTTTACCAAGCTAGCTATTTCGTAACAGCTGGTGACAACCTTCAAAAAGCTCAGATCCAGCTGCCAATCTCACCAGCTATCTTGTCCTTAGGGCTATTCATTAGTCGAAAAGCAGCATGTGAGTGCTGATGAATTTCTACAGCTCACATTCCCAAATATAATGAAAGCAGATAAATTTACAACTTTGTCAAACTAATCTATTTTAATGAGCTGAATATAAATGTTTTACTCAAGAGACAACTGCTATTTACCAGTTATGGCAATAGGTTTTTAGTGAGTACTGAAAATGTGTACAATAATATGCAAGAATGAGGAAAGAATTCATACAGTGGCTTTACAGAATGGATATCTTACGGCAGTATGAAGGAGCCACAATCAGACCCTCAGGAGCACACTTTTTATGGACACACATTCAATGTTGCACACATACCTTCCATGACAACGTAGTCTTGAAAAATTAATCTGGAGACCACCAGTACAGTCAAAGGCATTTTTGAATAATGTTTGCTTCTTACTGTCAAAATATTTATGGTCATGTATCTCCTAAGCTAAAAATATTCTTGTTGCTTGAATAATGCACTTGAGTGAATGGCTAGATGAAAGACAAGCATGCATCTTCTTTTGAAGCATTTGACCCAGCAACGGGATTTTCAGCTTTTCATATATGATTCTGCCAGATTTAACATACAATCCAACTTGATGACTCCAAGTGAAACTAGTGGGTCAGTTATTTGATATTAGGTAACCTGGTGTACAGTAACAAACATTATATTAGTCTGCCAAACAAGGGAAGCTTATAGCTCCACTTGTACAAGACAAAACTGTTCTATGCATAGTTGTCACAAGACAATTATACTGATTTTCCCATGGAATCAAGAACTCTCCTAGAGCAGCTTAAAATGAAATTGGCTCAAGACACAAATTGCCTTGTGGTTCACTTGGTTTCCTACTGAAACAGAAAGCCCTGTGGCGTGTCAAAGTCCTTGCCTACACAGACACAGCAAAACCTTCTGTTTAGCTATGGGCAAATTATTTATCTGTGGGCAAATTTTGAATATAGTTTAAAGGCCAGATCTGCCATGCTTTGATGTGAGTAATCAGCACTGAGGCCAACAACAGTTTCCTAGTAGGACCGAAAAAGCAGTGACTGAAAGAGCAGTATGCAAGTTAACCAACATCCTTGGCATCTTAAAGCTTTACCTTTAAAAAGTATAAATGAATAGTGACAAGCTGTCATAGCTTGAGGAGCACCACAAAAGGAAATGGGAGGTGAATGTCTTTCCTCATCTCCTGAAGTCAAAGAGAGATGGTGTCACCCCGCACCCAGTGCTTACATTGCTTTTAAATCTATCCTGTGCCTAACCTTACTCTAGTCTTGCCATCAATAACAAAACCATTCCAGAGTGGATAGAACAGCATTTTGGCATTACTCTGCTGATAAACACACCTTTGTACAGAGCAAGAGAGAGTGTGCTGCAGAATAAAAGAATAGTTGAGGTTGGAATGGACCTCTTGACATCACCTAGCAATGTCAAGACCTCTGCTCAAGAAAGGTCAGTCTGGGATTATTTTGTTGTAGTTTGAAGCCTTTGAGAAGGGGTGTGTGTTATAAGTAATTCAGGATACTTTCACAAAAAAACATAAAATACTTGAGTACAGAGCCTACTAGGATGGTACTAGAAGACTGTAAAGAGAAGAGAGGGCCCAACCTGACTAATCCATATTAGCCAATACAGAAGTACTTACGAAGAGTGATTTAACCCGTAACCAGAACAACCCTGGATTTTGCCCTGGAGGGAGCCTTTGCATTTCCTTCAAGAGAAGTCTTGGAATAAACTAGCATCTGTGGGGCAGACAACAGGGGCTCCATAATGCCAGGAGCAACACGATTTTACCATGCAGCTTCATGCAGAGTCACGAAGGGGTCCTGCTAATGCACCAGCAATCATCTCTCCCTATGAAATGGGTTTCTCTCAGGCTGACTGAGCTACGTGAGAGTCTGCTGCTTCCTGAGCTTTTATTACACTCTGTAAGTGCTCATGCAAGATGCCAGGGGTCTCAGTGCCAGAACAAGTGTCTTACTTGCTTTTCTGTCACCACAGCTTTGCCTTCACACTACTGATTGAAATAGCTGTGCTGGCAGAATTCAGGGTAGATCTGTGCTTAGTTTCTGGAGACAAAGGAAAAGCACTTAAGGGAAGAGAATGTTTGAATAAATTTGTAATACGCTGAAGATTGAAAGACAGGATAAAATTTAGATCTCTATTGTTACATGGCTCTACATCTGAATTCTTACTATTCTGCTCAGGTTCAAAATCCCACACCTCATCATTGTGATCACTGAGTGCCTGCTGGTGGTGGCTGAGATTTTCAAAGGACTGTAAAGGACGTAGAGTTTCAGTGAGATTTGTGTACCCGATTCTTGCAGGATACGTTGATAATCCCAGTACTCAAAATCAGGTTTTTTGTCTGGAAATTGTTTGGGGGTATTTGGTTGTTTTTTTATTAAAAAAAAACAAAACCCAATAATAATCTAAAAAGTAGTTAGTGTTCAAACACCAGAAATCGGTACGCAGCACTGACAAATTCATTGCATAACATTAGATCCCTTTCTAAGATTAGTGATTGCATCATTGCATAAAACCACATAACAAACCGATGTTATGAAAACCAGTGTCCATGTGGGGTAAGGGAAGATCACATTAACCAAACAGACAGAAATGGCCACTTTGAGAAATTTCTCCCCAGACTGAAATACAGGATCATCTTTGAAAATGAATACTATTGCAGATGGTAGGGCTCCGGCTAAAGAAAATCTAGTTATAGCAGAGGAGAAAAGCATATGTTCCTGATACATACTATAAATAGACTAGGTACCCTTATGGGATATATCAATATACAGAATAGCAGCAATAAAAAAAGGGCAGTTGGTTGGTTGGGGTTTTTTCAATCCCATCAGTTTCCTGCATGCATCTAGTGGCTTTACAGGGGTTGTTTTTACTCATCATATGCTTTAAAATCTAGCGTTTGATTCAAAATAAAGCTAATTTGCATTGGTATAGTGACTTACCTCACTGGTGTATTATTACTGTGTAAGCAGGTGTACCAGTAACTGCAAATAAATGCTTGCTGATGGAATCTCAGCAGGGTTTCTGAAGAGTTTTCATTTTGTTGAACCTTAACCAGGAAATTATTGTGTAAAAAGCTTTGCTTTTAGTTTGTTGCCTGAAATGTTATTTAGCTACACCTGGCCAAATTCATGGCAATTATACTAACTATTCATAGAGGACATACCAAAACTCCCATCAGCCTTTTTAAATCACTGTCTCAAAAATCTGCATAAGAACAGTGAAAAAAACCCCCCTCAGATTAATATTCACATTGAGACTTCAGATCCAAATGCTGTTCACTGTATAACCTACATAGAGAAAGATAAAATGAAAGCTTTAAGGTGGAATATAGGTGACACATCGCTGGAATATTCTGACTGAAATGCATTTACAGTAAAACATGTCATTTAAGGCAATAGTATTTATTATTATGATGGTTTTTGCAAGATATTTGATCATGTCATTAGAATTGGTTTTTATCTTAGTTGTTTGGGCTGAGAGCATCTCCAATTATTTTCTGTTTGAGGGATTATTCAAATCAACTCAGAATACCCAAGAAATGCTGCAATGAGCGCTGCATGTCTCACATTCTACAGTCTCCTATGAAGGAATTATTTAGGTCAATCTTTCTTACCTACAGTACAGAGCAGGAAAAAGTTTTCACTAAAACATAGAAGAATAGATATTGATGTTTCTATATAGATCCACAAAAGTAACCACCAAAACCACATACAAAATCCACATCTAATGTTACATAAAGATTTGCAAGGCACCTTCATGTATTACCAGGGTGATTATTTGAAAGCCAGAGCAAATAAGATTAAAATAAATGCTTCCCTTTCCTACACTAGCAAGATAGCATTTGACAAAGAACAGTAATTAAAATGAGTTTTCCTATTGAATGCCATAAGTGTTTATGAATTCTTTTAAGTGATAATTATGATAATCTACATACAATCTAGAAAAGTTGACAAAATATCTAAAAAATGCTATGAAAGGATCTGTAGAGATGCTCCACCATTATTTACAAAGCTTATTGACTTTTATCCCACTGAAAAAACCTATCTGCTCAAAGCAGTAAGATTTTTTTTTCCCAGCTTAAAGTTAAATTTACCTTCCTGCTTAATTCCAAAATTATATACTACTGCACAAATTTTACTCACTTGTGATGTGAAGGTCACCAGATAGAATTCCTGCAGCACTGGGAAGCTGCCAACCCAGCCACTGCGCCATCATAGTATAACACTTGCCAGTAGCTGGAGGAACCAGTTTCTTGGTACATTTCATAAGGGTACCATTTCAGGTTCCAGCCAATTTGATATACCAGATAACACAAAAAATATAAACCACCCACTTTGTGAAGAGTTTCTGCTTCACAGCTTAGCTTTTAGTACTCACAGCTTTCCATGGAAAGACTTGCAGACCTATTATACCCTGCTGAGAAAACATGATTTGGAAGGACCCTCTTCCTAAGTCAGAGGTAATAACACAGATGTCAGCAGGCTTCTGGATATCACTTCCAAATGCTTTTCAGCTGTGGAAATATTTATGCGTGGGCAAAGGCATAGAGGGAGAATAGCATTGTCCCTGCAATGTCTACATACACACCTAGCTTCTTTAAAAAAAAACGTCTTGAATCCTTTGAGAAGGTTTACATGTATATATAAAAAAAATATGAATAAAATCAACATTTCTTTGGAAATATATATCTTTCACATCACTTGACTTTGTTGCATAGTTTATCATTAAATTGCCATGTTTTTTAAGCAAAAAACAACACATGAAGCAGGATACAGAGCACAATATGTGAGTAGGAAACCATTGCATGGGTAGGGTCAGTAAAGGGAAGCAATGTGATACCTTTTCTAAGGTTTTGATTGGGTGGGTTTTTACATCACAGATCCACAGCTCATTGGGGAATACTGGGGTTATTGCAGTCCTACAGGTGCTTTGGAAGGGGACTCGACTTTCACCACCCTGCTACACAGCAATCTCTCTTCTCTGTGAGAAGTGGCTGCTTCTGTTTCTCAGCTCCTGCTGATCTCTGCACTAAGCTAAATGTGCTGCCTCCTGAAGGGGCGAGGATTCCATTTCCCCCAGAAAAACGGGCTCCTGCTGCCTTCTGGCTGCTGATTTGGCTATGTGGGCAGTTAGCTCCCGGCTCTCTGATCCCACTCTCCTGCAAGCACAGTAGGAGCAGGAGCTAATACCTCTCCTGAAAGCATAATTCCCATCTATTTAAAGAGCTGTGATTCACAAACCATGAGAGCTCTAAATTTAGCAAAGCAAATCATAGGAAAACAGGAACCCTGCCCCTTCTCCTCATTTAGCCTGAGGTCTCAAGGAAAAGCCTGAACCTGAGAAAAGAGTAAACCCACCAATACACCAGGAGGCACATGTAGACTGGGGAGAATTTGTTTTAGAAGAAAATTCTATGTTTGTTTGTTTTAATTCAGTTAGTAAAGGAGTGAGAAAGCAAAATAGCTCATTTAAGAAGAAGCTTGTAGGCAGCATTTTCATCAGGTCATCCTGGAGAAAATGTAATTGTTATCATGACAAAAATGCTTTATCTTCCTTACTGTGATTTGGATGATAGACTGACTGGCAGAGCTATTAATTGATTCATTGTATTTCTGATCTCAGTAGGGCCAGTAAGCATTCCTAATGATTTCTAATTCCTCATCACGACATCCATTATGTTCACCTCTGAGATGTCTAAATGTATTCCACGTATAATGGCAGTTATGTAAAATGCAACATGACAGGAATACTTAGAATTGTTCAGACCTGCACTGTGGAAACCAACCTTATTTGTGCTAGCCATCCAATATGGGATTTGCATGTTTTGGTTTTCTACAGTCACACTGAGCAACTCAGGGTTTAAAGATTCCAGGTGGGCTGGTGTTATGTCCCTTGTGGCTCCACTATGAAACAGAAAACCAAACATAAACAAAAATAATCTATACAGGAAGAACAGGCATGCTGACAGAGATTGTTTGACATTAGAAAAGCACAGCTACAGCTGCGTACTCTTTGTTGCGATGTCTGCAGTAAATCTGGGATAATGCTCACACAAGAAACAAAGAACTACCACAGAAGACTCTTAAATAGGAGAAATGGATCCTGAAAGGTGTCAAGTAATTTAACTACAGCCAAGGAAAAATAAAACAATTCTCTAAAATCTGAACCCTTCAATTATTGAAAGCAGCTGTGAGAAATTTTAGTCTTTCTTTGAAGCAGAAAAACAAGACAGTTGTATGATACAGGCAAGAAACTGTGTTTATAAAATATAGTATGCTTTGCTTATCTATATAGCACAGCGTCAATAAAACCCTCGAAGCTACTGTTCCTGTGCCTGAACTCTCAAGGGAGTTATGCAGGGGGGCATGGACAAGATGATATTTAAAGGTCCCTTCCAACCCAGCCATTCCATGAATCTGTGATTCTATGATACGGTCTGCAGCATGGCAAAATTAACTTGTGTTCACAGAAAAATGTATGGCTTATTGGTTCCTTGGTGTTATCCTGCTCTAGTACCATATAGTAGCTACCTCACAGATCTCACCAGCCTGGGAAGGTAAGAGAATAGACACTTACTAGAAAAGCAATTTATACTATCCAAAGGGGCTCCACAGGTTATGTTTACATAGGAAAATTGGTACGATGCTGTTTCAGAACTCGAAGGATTTGTAACTCAAAAGATGTTCTAAATTAAGCTAAAAATAAACGTAGATTATTCTTCTGCTGGCTGAGAGAAGGGTGTCCAAGTTTCTTTTGGATTTACAAAATGTCTGGGAAAAAATGCCCAGTCTTAAAAACTCAATGTGAAGAACAATTTGAACACAAAATTAAATATTTAAGATGCAAATTTCTCCAACATATCTAAGAAAGACCTGCAGATTTTCTCACAGTCCAAATTCATCCATGAATTGATTAACTACTAGTGCTATAGGAACATGCAGAAAATTTTTTGGCTTTGCATTAATGAAGATTACCCCCTAGATGTCTGCAAACTATATCATCTTTCTTTGTCAAACAGAACAATTATTGAAAGGTTCCTTATAATAAAGAATTTAGATAGAGATATTAAACGTATGGTGCTTTAAGAGCAGCTAAATCATTACTTCGTTCATATCATCACTAAAAAAATAGATTATTTTCTGAAACACAGCAAAAACCTGTGAAGAAATCTGAGGGCCAGAACTGGCAAATATGAGGTGAGAAATGAAAGATCGAATGAAATTTTTTTGTCATTTTGGAATTTGGATCTCACTCTAGTCTTTCTCAGTAGAGGATCTGAATCAAATCAAAGTGCAGCTAGAAGAGGCTGTGGACTGAACAGCCATGAGTAGCAAAGTTCCTATGTTACTTATCCAATACCTTGCCTACTAATTATGGTGTATAACTTCCCTGTGTTCATGTGATAACTGCGCCAAATACCTAATAGGTATTTTAAAGGCTTTGAGGATCTGACTTCCGTGGAAATGCACCTACCAAGAAAAGGAATAAAAACATTATGAAGGTACAGATGGAAAATCAACACACACTTTGAAGGGTAAGTCCAGACTCACAGATTGTTAAATTGTTAGATTATTTTAAAGGAGTCAAATGCATGTGGATAGAAGAGGCCTTGTTAAAGCTAATGTCCAAGAATTTCGGAAAGATCTCACCATAGGCTCTTACGGAAAATACACCATCATGAAATAAAAGAAAGATATCTTCCGTAGATTAATAATTGGTTAAAGGGAAAAAAAAAAAAAAAAGAAAGAAAATGGGAAGTTTTTCTAGCAAAGGAGAAATCCACAGGGATCTATGCTTTTGTTTTTCAACATATTCATAAGTGATCTGGAAAATGGCATGGCAAATTTTGCTGATGATACCAAGTTATTAAGGATGGCAGTACAAATTATGGCTGATTGAACCACTATCCAAGGATCTATGAAAAGGGACAGTAGCTAAAGATCATGGCAGTTGAAAAATCGAGATAGCTAGATGCAAAGTATTGCACAAAAGTAATCACAGCTTGATATATGAAGCGATCAACTCTAAAATTACTATTCATATTTGGGAATGAGATCTTGGAGGCATAGCAGTTCTAAACTGAAAACTTTGTGGTGGGTGAAAAAAAATAAATCAAACCAGAAATAGAAACGAAAACTAAACAAAACTGTTATAACCCTGTATAAATCTGTAATACACACACAACTTGAAATTGTGTACAGGTCAGATCTGCTTCAACTTGGAAATAGTAACATCAAAATGATAAAGGTTCAGGCAAGGACAACAAGGATGTGAAAGGTATGAAACTGTTTCTATAAGGAGACTTAACTAGGGCTACTGAGCTTGAAAAGTTAAAAATAATAGAGATGCAATAGAGGTCAATAAAATCACAACATGACTGGCATAAATTAAATGATGAATGAATTATTATGTCTTCCCTAGGAAGACCTAGGAGAGTGAGCAGGTGTTGAGTGCAAAATACAAACCAAAGGTTCCTCCTACTGTGAAGCTGTTGAGCTTCTTGAAGCAGGATGATGTGAATGCTGAAAACTCAGATGCCTCCTAGGTGTTAAGTTCTTGGAAGGAAAAATTCATCACACCTTATATGAAAAGAAATAACTTCTGGCACAGGAAGTCCTTGAGCCACAACCTTTTGGAGTCTGAAAGGAAAATTTCTATGTAGTATCACACTTCTCAATCCACATCTACTGATGGCCACTGTCAGATCATGCCTCACTGAATTTAGGTATTATCCAGTATGACTATCCTTATGTTTTTACCCTAAAAGTTTCCCAAGCACATTATAAAACTGAGTCTAAGAAAAGAACCTTTCCTGAAAAGGGGTAACAGGGCCTACAGAGCTCAGGTGGAACATTTAAGATGAATGTAAGTATAAGAATATTTTCATTTACTAGACATACTTTCCAAAACATTTGTAATAGATGCCAAGTTAGTTTTGTTTTACTTCCTTTTTTTAATACTTTGTTTTCTGCAAGAAGAAGTTAGATCTGAAGGTGAAGATGCTAAGGAAGATCAGGTAAAGATCACAAAGAAAAACAGTGAAGTATTTCAGAAGAACAAGAGAACAGGCAGGCTCTCCTGAGTTTAAAAGACCATGTGAAATGTACGAAGAGCAGAAGAGAAGAATGATAAAATGCACAGTTGAGAGTTATAAACAGAAAAGTTGCAGAAATTGTTAAAAGTATTTTTTTCTTTCTTTCGTTAGAATTGTGAACCTGGGTGCACACCTTCCCTACTCACATGAGAAAGGACAGACTAAACCTCTTCTTGCTTTTAACTCTTCTCTTATTAGCCCCAAATAACCTCTGCAGAACCACATCCTTCCAATACTTAAGATGACCCCTAAACCTGTTAAAGGCAATTTGATAACAATAATAATAATTAGGGTAAATTGTTCCCAAAACTTTCAGAGAAACCAAATTTAAATTCACTGCAAATTTTAGTGTATCCACACTTTCAACACTTGAGAGCAA